TTGGAATGGGCACAAATATGGATCTCTTCCAATCAGTTGGCCAGATAGTTGTCTTCCAAATTTCTTGGCAGAGATGAGTGAGTGCCTCTTGTGCCACCTCACTTAGACATTGGCTGCCTAAATTGAGGGGGCGATAAAGGCAGGAAGTGACTGGCTTATAAGGTTTCAGAGAGAGTTTAGTTTAAGAGTGTGGGGGGAAGAAAGAGTTCCCACTGAATAGTTTTCATTTTGTCTACATGGATCTGGTGATAAGAGATGGGGATAAGATTCTTATGATTCAATAGTGAGTAACTGTTATCATGACTAATTACAACAGTCACAATTGTATAGGTAAAATCCAACTCCATTCTGGTGAGTAGAAGGGATGCCTGAGCAAATGGACACCCCACCCCCACTGCTGGAGGGCTCTACTACGTATGTGCCCAGATCTCCTCAAAATTTAAAGTGACAGTTTCCACTTAAAACCGAACGGCCACCACTCATCTGTCAGTTTGTCGTACTGTGGTGGCTTGTGAGTTGCTGTGATTCTGAAAACTATGCCACCAGTATTTTAAATACCAGCAGGGTCACCCAAGGTGGACAGGTTTCAGATGAGCTTCCAGACGAAGTCAGACTAGGAAGAGTGACAAACTACTCCCGAATATTTAGTCACTGAAAACTTTATGAATATCAGAGAAACACTGTCAGATATAGTGCCAGAAAATGAGCCCCTCAGGTTGGAAGTCACTCAAAATGTAACTAGGGAAGAGCTGTCTCCTCAAAGTAGAGTTGACCATGATGACACGAATGGAGGAAAGCCCTTGGAGGAAAAGCCATGGGACCTTCATTTGCTGATGGGGCACAACTCAAAAGAAGAGAAACAGCTGTAAACATCCACTGAAAATTGGAACATGGAATTTACAAAGTATGAATATGGGAAAATTGGAAGTTGTCATAAATGAAATGGAATGCATAAACATCGATATCTTAGGCATTAGTGAGCTGAAATGGACTGGTATTGGCCATTCTGAATCTGACAACCACATGGTTTATTATGCTGGGAATGGAAAATTGAAGAAGAATGGTGTTGCATTCATTGTCAAAACCAACATATCCAGATCAGTCAAAAGGTACAACTCTGTTTGTGATAGGATAATATCCATGCACCTACAGGGAAACCCAATTAATATCACTGTTATTCAAATTTGTGCACCAACCACTAAAGCCAGTGAGGCTTTACTGGTAATTGGAATGCAAACGTTGGGAGCAAAGAGGAAGGATCAGTAGTTGGAAAATATGGCCTTGGTGATAGAAATGATGCTGGAGAAGGCATGAAAGAATTCTGCAAAACCAATGATTTGTTCATTTCAAATCCCTTAGTTAGCATAAGAAACGACTATACACATGGACTTCACCAGATGGAATACATAGAAATCAAATTGACTACATCTGTGGAAAGAAAAGATGGAAAAACTCCATATCATCAGTTAAAACAAGAGCAGGGGCAGATTGTGGAACAGACCATCAATTATTCATATGCAAATTCAAACTGAAGCTGAAGAAAATGAAAAGTCCACAAGAGCCAAAATATGACCTTGAATATATCCCACCTGAATTTAGCGATCATTTGAAGAACAGATTTGATACATTAAACACTAAAGACCGAAGACCAGAAGAGTTGTAGGATGACATCAAGAACATCATATATGAAGAAAGCAAAAAGTCATTGAGAAGACAAGAAA